TTTCATTTTGGGAGTTTATTGTTTTACCGGAACAAGACCACCTAGTTGATCACAGCACGTCGACTTCCCCTTCCTGCACGCTTCTCTCTCTCTGTTTCAGTTTCACTTTCAACACCCATTTAGCATGCACTTTTGTGCGCCGGTTTTGGCTGCCGATTTGGACGAACTGTAGGAGAAAGACAGGGAGGTTGGAAGTGGAATCGAAGAGAAAATTGGGAATTTCATTGGGATAATGTTGCAAAGTAATTGAGAAGATGGAAGAGCGCCACTGTTTATGACACTCATCCATATCCCTCAGTGTATCTAACCATCAGTTACGATTACTCCAAGGTCCCCAGCCAGAAACCATCCGTGATGCGTCAACCAGGTGAGATATAGCTGCCCAGATAGCAAAACTTGTCCACTTCCTCCCCTAATTCCTCAGGCAGGGTGCTAGACCAACTCAATCTTGGAGCAACATTTTAGACTTTGAAGGTGCAAAACGCGTACCGAAACAGGTTACACGAGCACTCAAACTATCCAGAAAAGCTTGCAACTTACTTGGATCTTCACTTAGAAGCACACTGTCGCTTTCATACTCTAGATCAGACAGTCTGCCACCTGGGATGAAATTGATGCTTAAGGATAGGGCTTTTTCTATTATTAAATCTATAACAAAGTCAAACAGAAACGGAGAGAGCAACCCTGTCGAACACCACCTTCTATAGTGAACTCGGATGAAAAAGTTCCGTAAGCTCGGACTCGGCTTCGGCTATTATTATAAAGGGATTGTAAGATTGGAATGAACTTATCAGGCACACCCTTTAGCTCGAAGCGGAGCCAGAGTTAACTGAGTCAAAGCCGCCCTAAGATCGAGGAAGATAGAAATGGTGGATCTAGAATTTGACGAAGATTAAAGATGTAATCGATATAACCTCAACCAGGCCTAAGACCAGCTTGGTTCTCACGTATGTACACTTCACGTGCGGCAGACAATCGACGGAGTATAATACCGGCGAGAATTTTAGAGATTATATGGATTAAAATAATTCCTCTATGGTTTTCACAAGAGAACCTGTTGCCCTTCTTGTAAATTGGTATGATCACCGATTCACACCATTCAATTGGAACCTGTTCCCTCTCCCACACTGAGCCCAGGAGTTTTGTTAACTCCAAAACCAAGGCTAGATCTCCATCCTTAAACCCAATTGGGACAGCCCGTCGGGGTCGGAAGCCTTATGCCGTTTGAGATAGCCTACTTCCTGGGTAACCTTTATTTCAGATAGAGGACTAATGTCAACTGGCAGTATTTTCACAGTTGAATCGGGTGTAGGAAGGACTTGGTTTGACGAGGGTCAGCTGAACTGAGCCTTAAAATGTTCTGCCCATCGATCTAGACGGCGTTGCTGAATATGAATCATTGTGCCGTCGGACTCCTCAATTACCTCACTTACGCCCGCTTTCCTTGGACCTGTACTCCTAATTAATCGGAAAAGATTGCGACTATTACTGATAATCGCAGCCTTCTCCATCTCTCTACACTTTCCTACCCACCACTTATCGCGGTCATTCCTCGTACTCCTGATGAGCTGTCGTTTAAAGGATTTGCGCTCTGTGCCGTATTTTGAATCCGAAGGAATGGCTTTGCGAGTGTCCAGCAGGGCAACCAAAGTCGGGGAGATCCATCGTTTTTTATTTGATCGTATCACAGAATTTTCCGCTGTTTTGATCGACGTTTGGATCACTTGCTTGATTCTCGTTCAGTGTTCACTAAGTCCTTTGAATAATGGTTGAGCCGAGGCGATCTGATAATTCCGCTTCGAAGGCCCATTTGCAACCGCCGCTTATACTGTATTGTGGGCATCCGTTTTTGGTGGCATTTTGACGGTTGTTTACTAGGCGTAGGGAGAATATCACTCAAAGCAGGGCATGATCCGTGTTCAAGGGGATTGACCAGTAAGAGAAGCAATCTTCAATGGATCCTCGCCAGCAGTGGATGTTGGTGATGTGTTCGATATAAGTTTAGTGTTGTGAAGAAGTTGGCGGTCTCCATGTAAGGCGGTGTCGTTTCTTGGCGAGAATTTAATGTTTGACAGAAACAGTTCGTTGTCAGCGCAAAGTTAGAGTAGGCTTTCTCCTTTGTGAGTCCGGTTAGCTAGGATTGCATGTGAACCATCAAGTAGCCTTTCTGATTCGTCCTGGGATCGCACTGGAGCATTAATGTCTCCAACGACTACCACGATGTCCGTTGACCAAGCACTTTGGAGCAGTTGAGAGGGTCCTTGTAGAGTTCATCCTTCATTTCTGGTGAGCTGCAATCTTTCGGTGCATACGCAGATACAACGAATAATTATCGACTCTTCGCGCTGTAGCTTTTGATCTCTATTGAACCATCTAAACGTACAGCGAAGTCGGCTACTGACCGGGATCCAGTCGAGAATTGGACGTTCGGCCTTGACACAGCGCAATCCCAACACCAGCAACACCGCAAGCTTCGGATGTCGAATCGCCTAACACACGGAGAGTGAAGCTTCAGGATGAGGTTGAATCTCGAGAACGCAAGATGATTGAAGTAGGGTATTGTATGCGTGTTGCGGAGACACAGTATACATCTAAATGGAAGGTTTCAAGGGTTATAGCTAAGGCGGCTTGTTGACCAATCTGACAGAGTGTGCGGACATTAAATGCGGCTAAGTGGAAAGAATATTTTTGTTTCAAAAATCTGCTGGCCTCTGAGTGGTTGGCCTCGTTAGTTGAACACTGAGTGGTATCCGATGGGTGACCCTTACAGGATGCATCCCTTAAGGTATGGGAGTGAGAAGAGGAAATAGACAGTTGAAAAATTCTGTTCTCCAAATGGGTGCCTGAGACTTTTGGGCATGGCATACTTCGCGGATGCCCACACCGACGAAGGGGTTTTTCTTTGGGAACCCCAACCGGAGCCTTAGACTCAAAAGTTTGACTCCCAAGGCAGTGGGGCATAAATCTAACGCAGGAGCGTGAACGAAGCACCCGTGTGAGAGCTTCTGGAGATCTGTCACGCAAGATCTTTGAATTTCGGTTAAGTTGTTCGCTGGTGCGTTGATTATTGGTCCGCTTTTCTGGATCGGCCCTTAGCCTCATGTACCCAATGAGACAAGCGGAACGTGGACAGGACATCATCTAATTGGCTGTGGGCTGCCCAGCTTGGGCGGGCAGTAGCTGTCCAATGAAGTGCGAAGACTTCTCTCACCGTCGAGAGGAAGCCCCAGATACCCCGCTCCTACGTCCATCTAACGGGTTTCTTTACCTGTAAACTGCCCCTCGCCTTGTTTATTTGCTGGATTGGCCTCTCCAGGGGCGGATGTGAATAGAAAAGGAAGCCGGCAGCTGGCTTTGTGAAACTGATCTTTGTCTGGCCTCTACCGTTTTACCTTTCAGGCATGATTGGATCTGCGGAGCCATCGTGTACAGCTTGCAGGGTCATTGAGGCACGCAAGCCATCACACCACATCAAGTTGCAGTCTCGTCGTGATGGTCTACGCTAGATGAGCTAGAAGGAGTAACCGATGGTGGTTGTGCACATAACTCATCAGTCCGACCGGTCAATTGTGTACCCCCAACATCAAGGTATTATTCGTGGTAGGAGTTTGTGGATGGACGAGTTGATGGTACAGGTAGTGGTTTCAAATTTTCCCGCGATCGATCGCGTTCCAGCTCCCTTTTCTGTTCATAAGACATAAGTTGGTAGAACGTCTCGCAAATTGCAACTTGCGACGCGCGTAGCATCTATGAGCCCTATCATTTATAGACCGCCCGAAAACAATAGATCACCTATAGTTCTCTCTAAATTTTGGTAGTTACGCAAACCGTTGAACATCGTTCCGTAGGTCTCCACTGCCATTTCATCACAGTAGCATGCGGTCTATCCGTCCACTGCCGTCCAAGGCGTCTTACCCCATACAAACTGAAAGTCTCACTGAAAGAATTTCAGCACACGATATACCTGAGGATCATACATCGCTATTCTGTTTCCTGGGCCTCATCTTTACATGTGGTTCCCAAAATTCTCAAGGACAGCTAGCGCCCCTCAGTTGATTTTAGGGCTCTAAAAGCACCACACCAGACAGATATCCAACGTCATATGCTCAAAATTTGAAAACAAGTTTAAGAGGGTATCAAATCGTCATTAGAATTGATCTATTTTGAGCCTACTCCCAAATACGCGTACACTCTCAGGATGCCCACAAATCAGCAGTGATTACGCTATTTAGTTGTTTCAGTTACTGCACATACCTTGTGGTGTGAGAAACAGTTCAAACTTTTCACGTTTTGTAGACTAATCATTTCAGATCCTAGACAATATATTTGCTCACTTATATGACATTCGGGTCGCTGGTGCAACACCAGAGGAAAGCGAACATCTACTCACTCCATTTATACATCTTACACAGTATGGTGTCACCATTACTTCAGCGAATCGGTCCTTTGAAGATCGTAAAGTAAACTTCTTAGATCTCTCTCTGCACTACAGTTAATATCAATGCAACCGCAGTTGAGATTTTGTTATATCTATCTTCCACCTTTTGTTCCGTCCTCTCATTTGCTGTTTGTTGTACATATTCCGTGAGCATCATTAGTCTGGACGCTAAAATCTCACCCTTTCAGTTCCGCCATTGTTTCACTGGTGCATATATATATATATATATATATATATTCAACTGTTGAAACTATTACAGTATTTTGTCTACCTAAAACCTTTATCGGTAAGTCATATGAGCTGTCACGCTACGGCTCTATAGAGTCATAACACAGCATTGCAATTTTAGCTGTCATGAAAACTCTACCGGATGGACGATTTTTCTAAATCAAACCACTTTCGAAGATTACATGCTTTAAAATAGCGTGATATTTAGTTAGCTTTGTATTCCCTTCATTCTTGATGGTCTAAATTTTGCTCGTTAACTATTGGAAGCTTAATAAGAAGTCACATATGGGAAACATCACTGGATCTTGAATTATTCTGCGAAAGCTCAACTCACCTTTGCTGCAGAATCAATTATTTGCTCCAAACATCGACCAAACTCTTCCAAAACGATTCTTTCCTGAGTTAATGGAGAGGCAGATCGCTGCTTTGCTTCATATAACTGGGCCAACATACAGCTGCAAGCTGCTTCCGTGACCTCGAGAGAAAGGAATCCATTGGGTATTCTAAAGTCTATCCTGAAGTAGAAGAATGATAAACATACAAGGGCTCTTCGAAGTAGTATTCCGCATTCCCGTTAAGACCAGCACCCTGTGAACGACCGAACAGTTGGCTGGCATGCGGCAACTTAACATAATTATCCTGATATGTGTGGTCCAAACCTGGAGACATAAGGAAGTTACTCATTCTGCTTGGTCATAGGGTAATGAAACAGCAAATCTAACTTTTTATGGACCATTGACCCTTTGTTCCTTCCTAAATCCTGAGAGTTTTTCTGATCACAGCCATTCTCGAAATTCCGGCAACCTTGACAACGACACAGATCAGAGCAGGTAATTTTAGCCTGAAACAGACAATAAACTCAGAAAGCATTGGAAAAAGCATACCTCATAACATTCGCAATAATTTTTCAGACATCCGGAGCGCTTACAATTACAACCTTTAGAGTGCTTGCGCTCACCCTCACCTACAAGTTTATGGATTATAATAGTTCAGAAGTTTTCACCTATTTTCGGATGAAAGGCCAACGGGTTCCTCTCAAGCGTGAGTTTTATGGCCCTCCGTCTTTCCTCTTCGTGATAAGCATTGTTCATACAGTTTGAGCAATTACAATTATCGCATGCACTTCCCCTAGCAAAACATTCGCAGTATAATTTTAGGCAATGAGACTTTGCACAATTGCATGGTTTTTTGTAAGATCCACCGAAAGTTGTCATTTGACTCAGTTTGTTTTGCATCCTTCCGTCAATCGTGGACATTTCCGTTCCTGATCCATAATCCGGAATTCCACGAACAAGTTCAGGCTACATAGATACTTTACTAAAATTGATTGCGAATGGCTTACACCAGGAGGGTTCGTTTTCTCGCTTGTTGTTAAATCCAAACCCGTGGACAACAATATTTGTTCCCCGCATTTCCCTGAATCAGTTATCATCATCGAACCAAGGACTTGGGGTATCCTCAGAGGCAACGGAATCTCAACGTACGATTCGAAATGCGGGCCGAATAATACTATTAAACAACCCCAGACTAAGGTGTACGTTGATCCGATCAAACAAATTTCAGTTCAGTTTTCACTGGACAACAAGAGGCCATCATCAATCAAGCTTCCAGATTTCGTTCAGCAGTATGCACTGTTCTGGCACCCACTACTGTATACAGTAATCCGTTAGGTTCAATTAAGTTTTTTCCAGGTCAAGTCAGGTTGCACAAGACTGATTGTGGCCAAAGGCCAATCAAGCGTCCAGAATTCATTTCATGGTATGCTCTCATGTGTGCGTCCACCTCTTCTATTAAGTGGGTTCTCTTTCTTTCTCCAAACAGAGAGAAAGAGAGACTTCATTTCTCACGTGTCAGGGAAAGACTTGCAGCGGTTCTTCAACCGACAGTTTCGCAACGGCAGTTTTTCCTTATTACCTCTTGTTTTTCTCTGAGTTTCTTGATAGATCCATTCAAGCTGGACGTGATCATCAAATCACGTACCAGAAGTACTTTCACCCTACACTGGTGACTAACAGCAGGATACGTTCAGTTTCTAACCGGTCCTGTATAACTGAGGACTATGGTACATAACCATGGAATACCTATCAGAACCATCAAGGTTCAGAAATCAAGTAGCGACTTAGCTTATCGATCAGGTAGCTAAACTACCGTCAGGTTTTTCCATTCTTCCTTTAAGGACCCTTATCCACCGGACACAACCAAGTGTACCGTCGAGATTTAGCATTTATCGCCATTAGTTGGCAATAGCTATCCTCTGAGGAAAGTTTCTCTATTGGATAAAGCAACTTGGACATTTCCAGGAT